AATATTTAAATATTGCTTGGCCCCGGCAGATGAACCTCAGGATTAAAGGGTGGGCTCAGTTCAGCGCACGCTGGGTCTCACCTAAAAAATCCACTGCGCAGGCTCGAAGGGTTAATGACCTTTCCCAAATCTTCGCTCGCGAAGACTGGCCATTATTCTTTACAATTATTTTTTTGCGGGATCAAATTTTTTGTATATGAGTTGCATATTAGGGCAGAACTGTCAATTACAAGAAAAAAAACAATAAAATATTTTTCCGTTAAACAGAAATTGAGGTGCAACATATGGCCCCTGTGTGCATGAAGTGGCCATAAACTCATTACCTACTACATTGTTACATTATTATATTATTTGTGGTTTCTATGTCATTTTTAGAGAGAACTTTTCTGTTGAGTCCAAGTCTACACTGACAGAGATAGAATGTGCATAAACAAACACAGAAAAAAGGATATTATCACTATACAAACCAGTCGTATCAGCACAACCATGTACCAGGGGAATTTACATCAGATAATTAAATCCACATTTTTGCACTGTATTACTTTAAAAAAGCTACTAAGTGGTACATTTTTGGGTAGGTATGCCCTGAGACCTCCATTGACAGAAAGTGGAGGGAAAAAAGCATGCACCGGTTTTTGTTTATTCAAGTAAAAGGCAATATCCAGGTTCAAAAAAACAGTAAAAGAGACACATCAAGGGAAGAACAAGGAAATACAGAAACATAAGCAAAATTACAACCAAAACCAGTGTGGTGCACACTCTGCTGCTATTGCCCTGGCATACAGAGAACAGAATGAGTATTTTGCAGATGTACAAAATGTGCCTGAAAGACAAATGAAAATAAGCACACAGAATCCACAATACTTCCTCAGAGCAAAAAGAAACTCTCATGTTTAGACTGTCTCAATAATGGCAAGAAATTAATCACAAGAGAGTAAAACAAGGCAAGAGAGTTAACTTGACAGACAAAATTTCATATGGTACTTGTACCTCTTCTGATTATTCCACACTGGTGATTTGGAAACACTGTATCAGATTGTTTCCCCTACCCATATCCTCTCACACCTTTTCCATGCTCATAGCTTTGCCAGAGAGATTTCTCAGGGACTAATCTTATTGGGGACAGCTTACTACAAATGAATAGTTAGGGCAAAGGTTCAGAATGCTAAAATAAGACGTACATGGTGTCTGCCACTTGCTATTTCAGCTAAAAAAAAAAAAGGATATGTTTACACTATTATTTATTAAGATTCAAATAGGGGCTTGCTAATTGGCTGTCACGAAAAAAACTTCTAGCACTTCTATTTACAATGTATTTCTTCTCTCAGGCTGCCAGACCAGCACTTTCACAAGTCCAAATTTCACTTGAGAATGAAGAATATGGCCCTGATGAACTGCTTTTTAATATTTCCTGCTGAAATAGGGCAGTTGTTGCAAAGTCTTATAAAAGTTGTTTAAGCACCCAAAAGAGAAACAAAACTGTACAAAGCTGCTATTTCCTATCAAAATGGCACAGCCAGCTTGAAACTTTCATTCTTCTGTGATAATTCTGTTACTTTATTTAAATGTAGCATCCAAAATTATTGATTGAAACACGTGAAAAATACTATTCTCCATTTTCCATCCAGCTTATGCTTCCTTTTGCTGTTTTTTCACTTCTTTAGGAACTGCTAGATGGTTCCTTTTATAGAGGAGGAAAAAAAACAAAAAAACCCAAAAACAAACAAATGGTTAAGCTACAAGAGAAATGCAAATAACTTAAAAAAATATTTACTCTGCAACATACTACTTCAGAGATGCTGTTTAAGAAATCTTAAGAAAAAATAACCTGCCTCTAAAAAAAAAAAAAGGTTTCCTCATAACTTATCAGACATTTTTCAAATAACAAAGGTATGCAGCCTCTGCACTCAACACTCCTGTTCAACTCTCAAAAGTATTAGCAATTAACTCTTCCTGAAGTCTTTAACCCATTAGACTAATACTAATTATGTATTCCTCCTGCTCAAAGGACCAATAATTTAAAGCCACCCACTGACAGATTCAGGTCTTCTCAATATCTGAGGTAAAATGGATAAAATACTTTCTCCTTATCCTGCATGAAGGCCATTGACATGATGAACCAACTTTTGATGGGCATGATTTATCCCAGGACCTAAGACAGAGAAAGTTAGTACTCAGCTCTTGCAGTTCACCTGCCATTCTTAGGCAGAATCAAGCAAGAACTACATGGAAGTAGTACTTGATAAGCTCTGCTTACAAAGCTGGATAGATACCTATCAATATAACTCACACTGCCTCTTACAAAGCCTCACCATATTCAAATGTGAAAGATGGCGTGCCATATTTCATAATCCAGATCACATTACTTATACATTACTATGACTGGTATACTCTACAGTAATACTCTCAAATAGCAACCATTCTTCTCTTTGATGTGTAAATATGGCAGTATTTCACTAAGTAAACCACTTCTGCCAGGCACACAGCTCCTGTATTCCCACTACCTAATATGGTTAAATTACAAAAGCAGTAACAGTAACTGCTCCTGCTTTGGACCCAAAAATGATGAGCAGAGGGACATGCAAAACTGTACTCACTACTTTCACTTCTGCTTAAATCCAATTCACCTTAATTCTTTTAAAAACAAGCATCTAAATAAACGAATAAAAAAAGAAGTTCGGCAAAATGCTCAACAATAAATGTCCCGCCTTAAAAATGTTACATGTCCTGCTTAGTTACAAACACACAGGCCAGTGCCATAAGTTTGCTCACACAACTGAGTACAGCCAATAGTATTAGAAATAGTTAAAAGTCAAAAAAGAATAGCCTTGTAGGGTGCCACCACATAAACTAAACACGATATACTGCCAAACACTCAAGTAGACACATGTACCATTATTCAGCAAGGACCACATGAATGCATATGGCTCTCTGTTTTGTCTTCATAGTAACAAGAAGGTTTGTAAACAGACCTCACATATGAGGCAATCTAGTCACTTGAGAATCTAAAAATCTGCCTTTATAAAGAAGCATTCTGCACTGTTGCCACACAATTGCACTTAGATACACAATTAAGAGTCCTCTACATTTGTGCTTTGGGACAAGCGCTGCTCAATTTTATTCTAATCCGTAGCAGTGAGGTTTTAACCTGTCACCTCAGCCAGGATGTATGTAACTGCTATGCCCAATAGCCATTGGAAAATAATATCAACACAAGAGACTATAAAACATTAAAAATGTGGATTATTCAATCAAAAAAATTAATGACACACTGACTTCATATCATACCACTGCTGCCTTTGCACGGCTGAAAACCACAGTAATCTTAAATGCATTTACAGACGACAGTAGAAACTTCATAAAACTCACATGGAAAAACCCTCTCAACCTATTCTACAATACTAATTTTTTTCAAAACATGAGACAAAGCAAAAAAAAAAACAAATGAAGAAAGTTTCAGATAATCCATACCTGAAGTTTCAGAAGTATCTCCTGACTGAAAGGATACGGAAAGATTTAATATCTAACTGTAAATACATATTACCCCCAGGATACACTGCATCTATCTAAATATGTCCACATGGTGCAAACCTAAGAGGCAGAGACTCTCCTATCTTTAAAGAACAGATGCACTTTTTTAGCATGCCTGCATATCATTTTCACTATCAAAATATTGAGGATTCTGCACCACATCCTGATAACCTGAGGATCACATTCCTCTGGCAGTCAGTGGTAATCCACAGCAACAGAATTTAAAACTGGGCCCGCTGAATTTGTACCTCGTTAGACCAGTAGTTCTTTTAATTTAGTAATTACTATAATTACCCGGTGTCCCCAGAACTCCTGATGATGATGACCGAAGCTCCCTTGAGCTGGGAGCAGCATGAACACACGCCTGCACTCGCAGCTCCGGGGAGCAGAGAAGCACAGACCTACACAGCAATGCTTCTCTTTTGCCACCCTGACCATTTCATTTACTTCTTTTGTAATAATTCTTAGTATAAACTCATTAGAAGGAAAAAAAACTGTAACACCCTTGAATAAGTAAGCATAAAATGCTTTATGCTCCCTCTATTATTTAATAATGTACAAAACCAGAGAGGTTTTATATTAAAGTTGGCTTCATTTTAAAATGAGAGAAGGAAAAATATTTACCTAAATATTTCTGCTGAAACTCATTAGTATTTCTATTGGTTTAATTAAAAAAGGTATTTAAGAATTACTGCCTAAAAACCCTCCAACTCTTTAATGTTTGAGTAGAAGTTTCATTTCTGCATCTACCACGTTAAAAAAAAAAAAAAACACAACCAAAAAAACACCTGAAAAAAAAAAAAAGTTTGACCATTAGTGCCAACTAATAAGAAAAACAGAACCCTTTTCCGGGAAATTAAACTCTGATGAGTTTTATCGTTGTGCCGGGGCGAGCCTCGGCCGCCTGCCCACGGAGACAAGGCGTGCTGGCCAGCGGCCGGCCGGGACCCGCGGGGCCTCCCGCCGGCTTCCCCACCCGCGGGCCGGAGCTCCTCGGGGCACCCACCACCTGGAGCACAGACATCATTACGCTCCTTCCCCGCCGCTCCCTCACGCGGGGGAAGGCCGTGCCGCAAGCCAGCCCCCGACAGGAAGGTCGGAGCGGGCTACGGGGCATCACCCGGGATAACCCGGGGCTTTCCCCCCGCCCCCCCCCGCGCCGCTTGACCCCGACGGCGGGGACACGGCGGGGCCGCGGCGGGGTAGCCCTTCGCCCCTGCCCGCCTCCCGGCGCGGAGCCGGCGTGCGGCAGTGTATCCTATGCGATATCCTATGCGACAGGCGCGGACATGCCGCTTACATAATCCCCGCCGGCCGCACACGTACCCCGCATTACATAAGGGATCGTGCCCCCGCCGGCCCCCGCGGCAGCCCCGCCGCCGGGCGGGGGGACAGAGGGAGGGAGGGACCCGGCGGTGGCCCCGGCCAAGCCCCTCGTTAACCCCCTTCCTGTGGCGTTTACACGTCATGGAACATTCCCGGAACGGGCCAACGTCCCACCCACTTCAGGGAACAGTCACCGCGGCGCAGCGCGCACACGCACTCACACACACGCACCCCCGGCGCGGTGCCGGGGCTCCCCACACACACGCACGCCCCCCGTGTCCAGCGCCCCCCGCGGGGACGCGCTGGCAGCCAGAGCCAGACCCCCTCCCTCCGCTCCCTCCGGCGCCCTGCCCGCCACCGCCGTGCCGGGTGGCCCCGGGCGGCCCCCCCCGCATGGAGCCCCCCCGCCTCCCGCTCCCGGGGCGCCAGAGGCCGCGGAGAGAGCCCCGCCGGGGCGGCCCCCCCGCGGGCGCCTCTCCCCGGCGGTGACCATGCCCATTCCCCGCCGCAGGAGGGGATTACGCAAGGCAGCCTGCTCCTCATCTGCATACACTTACAAGCCGGGTATTCCCCACATTTCCTAACGGCGTGTCACCGACAAAGGCCTGTCCCCGCTGCGTCCCCCTCCTGCGCCGGCTCAGGGGGAAGGGCCGCCGGCCGTGGTGCCCCGGGGACGGTGCCGGTGCCTGCCAGCGCCCAGAGCCGCCACCACAGAGGTGACTTACCGGTCCGGCGGTTTTACAGACTCACCGGCTTCCCCCGCCGCCTTGCCCTCCATTTACCCCCGCGGCCCCGGGCGTCCAGGGCGGCGCTCAGAGCGCCGGCCACAGACTCCGCGGCTCAGCCAAGCGCACGCCCGACCCCCAGCCCCGCGGCGCCCCGCACCCGAGACAGACAGCCGGCGGAGTGCCCCCCGCCGCCGGCAGCCGCCCCGCAACCACACCGGCTGTCAGCTGGTGCCGGTGACAGGGAACGACCGGCGGGCAGGGAGGAGGAGGTGCCCGCAGCAGCCGCTGCTGCTCACCTGGGAAGTCACCGAGGAGGAAGGAGGGAAGCCCTCCCGGTGCCCTTGTTGTTGTTGTTGTTGATGATGATGATCCCGCCGGGCGCTCGCGTTGCTCCTTTGCTGAGGGCTCGCCCGGAGTGAGGCGGCTCGCGGTGCTTCTTTATATATAAAGACAGACAAGAAATATTCCAACGGCCAAGGGGCGCCCGCTTCACGCGTTTATCTTAAGGCAGGTCATTCCTCTCCCTCTTTTTGGAAAGGCTCATCACCATCTCTCTTGACAGTGGCGGAGGGGCTGGTGTTGCACGGGGAAGAGGCGGAGGCCCGGGAGCCGCAGCCCGCCCTGGCCGCGGCGGGAGGGAGCGCTCCGCGCTGCAGGCGGCTCCGCTGGGCTATTCCTGGCACCACTTCCCAGAACAGAAGTTACAGGGCGGCGAGCGCGGAGCGAGCGCGGGGAGCGCGCCTCCCGTGACGTCACCGGGTCCCCCCGCGCGCCGGCGGGGAGCGATCCCGGAGCGGGTGGTGGGCGCTGCCCGCCCCTGTGCCCGTGCCCGGGGCAGAGAGGGGCCGGGAGCACCGCGCGCCCGGGCAGGGCACGGAGGCAGGAGGCAGGGCCTCGGAGGGCGAAGCCGCGGCCTCCCCCCGCCGGCGGAGATCGCCGCTTCCCTCCCCCTCCCCCTGCCCGCCGAGGGAACTCCCAGGAGAGCCAGTCCCGGCTTGCCGTGCGCAAGCCGCGCGTCCTCCCGGCCTGAGAATTTCCTCCGAGGACGCGGGATCCTCCTGCCCCCTCCCCTCCCTCCGCTTCCTTTTGCTCCCTCCCCCGGCCCCTCCGCCCCCTCACTCTCGCCTGGCCAGGATCACGTTATCTGTCAGGGAGAACAATACACCGCCGGGGCTCCCCGTGCCCGCCGCCGGCCCCGGCTGTACAGCTGAACCGGGGTCTCCCGCGGGCGGGGACCACTCCGACCCTCGCTCACCCCTTAGCACATGGCCCCGGAGCAGGGGGCGCGCAGCGGACGGGCCCGGGGGGGCTCGCAGCCGCCCCGGAGGGCAGGGAGCCCTCCCGCCGCCCCGGGCTGTGCCGCAGACACACGCATGTATTGCAACACGCGCTCGCCGCCGGCGCCGCGGCCGAGCCGAGCGGAGCCGAGCATAGGGAGCGCAGCGCCTTCCCCGGGAGTGACCGCGCCGCCGGGAAGGCGGGCGGGAGCGAAGGGCGGCCGCGGCCCCGCGCCGGGTAACGGGGCTCCCGCGTCCCCCGCCGCCGCTCACAGGGCCGCTCACGGCCAATGGGGACCGGGCCCGTACCGCCCGGCAGCGGCGGGCGGGGCTCGGCCAGGCCGGGCCGGGCCGGTGGCGCTCTCCCACAGCAGCCGCCAGCCCCGGAGCCTCCCCCCGCACCCCGGGACAGAGGCGCTGCAGGGGAAATACCCTCCTGGCGGGCCGAGGCGAGGCGGTGCTCGCGCTTCCTGGGAGCATCCCACCGCCCTCCCGCGGTGGTCGGGAACCCACCACCGGTGGTCGGAGCTGTCGCTCAAGCAGGACCCTACTCAGGTCCCGCACCGACACACGCAATAGGTCCTGCCGCTGACACCAGCTTTGAGTTAGTTAAACGTGAGCGCGGTTACGGGGAACAGAGTTTGTATTCCTGAGATTTGCCACGGCTGCTCGGAGGGTGAAGCCCAACCGGTTGGTTCCCTCTCCCGGCCGCTCCGGCAGCACGGGGATCCCTTCCCTGGCCTCACCTGGTTTGGCTTTGCCATGGCACCGGCGCCCATTGGGTTTTTGATAGCAGATTTTCACTTAATTTTCAGAGCAAAATAATTTTCTTTTGAGGAAGCCGTACAGCCGCACTTGCAGGCTACCGTAAGTTGATTCGAAGGGATGCCAACTCGCAGCGCTGTCACTGTGACACTGGAAGTCATACTGGCACCTGAGATTATTCCTTTTACTGACGTTAAGAAAAAAATCAGCCTCGTGAATGCAAAGGAATAAGTTTACACATAAATCCTGAAAGCACTGGATCTTATGACAGATGCCAGGGCAAATAAAATCATAATTTCATAATTTTAGTAGCTAAGAATTTTAAGTTGTTGCTGCAGCTTTTAGGGACTAATAACAATTCAGTGCTCAGAGTTGGCAATACAGAGACATAGAATCTATTAATAAAAATCCTGTCATCCTACTGTGATCCTTGGTACCTTGCTGACTTTGGTGGCCTCTGAGTCAGGCTCACAGTGCTTCATTGTGCTCAGTCCAGGAGAGTCCTGCAGTCCTCAAGTGATAGGGGCATAAGTATCTCATCTGATCATAATTTTTATGATAAATTATGACTTCTACATAGAAGGCTTGCTCCTGCAAGAATGTGCAATACTAAGAGGACTGAACAAAGAGTTGCTTGCTCCTTTTTGAGTCTGTGAGCATGTCTGTGTTCCTGATTTCAGTATGATATGTGATACTGTCATTCCTGACTCTGAGTATTGTTTGGCTGAAATTGTTCTGTCTGAGCAAACATACTGACTTTGGGCTTGTGCTCTTTATTTGATGTCATGTCAGAATAAGTCAATGGGAGATGGGAGTGCTTAGGATTTGTTTTAAATTGAGGTTTTCCCATCCTGTTGCTTTCCACAACAGCTGCATTTACCTCTGCCCCAAAATGATGGCTGCCAGTATCTTCCCCTCTGGGAGGCTGCAGACTCCTGACCAGCACCTTTGACTTCTTGCTGCATTCCCAGCATTCTCAGCTTCTCTCCTCCCTCTTGCAAGACTTCAGAAGTTCATTCTTATTGTCACAGAGACCAGCCCACAGAAGGTACCACAACAAGGTTCAGTGTTCAAAATAAGTTTATTGATAGTCATTCTCAAAGCAAAGTAAAAAAATGTTTCTCCATAAGGCTTTTCAAAACAAGACTCTTTTTCCAATTATGTTGGTTATCTCAAGAAGTTATACTATGTGTCCTTTTCCACATTCTCTTAGTATTGCAGCATCTGAGACACAGCCATTTCCTTCATTGTGGCTCTACAAGGGATATGCCAGAGCTACAACTCTTCGGCACTTCGGTGTGTCCAGGGAAAAGAATGAAGCTACATGTGTGCTCAGAAACCCTGACTGTTCTACAAAATCAGTTTGACTCAAGCCCCAGAGCAAGTTTTGAAAAGCTGCACAACTTGCAGCTGCAAGGGTCCTTCGCTTGGAGTAGATGCTACCAACCAAAGAGGCAGGAAAGTCTTTCCATGGTTCTGTCAGCCCACTCCCCCTTTGTGCACAGTTGTAGGGGAATGGGTGTAACTGAGTAAACTGACCTTCATCCCTCACCGCGCCTCTTTCCCCTCCCACAGGAAGCATGAGGCAGGAGCACTGTCCCTCAGAGGGACTGCAGCTGGGACGCCTGGGTAGTTTTCCTCCCAAACTCCTGCCAGTGACTCCACAGAGAAGCAGTAGACATCTGAATCACTTTCTCTCGCCTACTCATGGCAACGACATAACTTAATAATGATATCCGTGCATCATACCATCCTACCATTTCCCTCTAGATTTATTTTTTTTTTAACATTTACATCCAGCATTTAATAAAACTATCACTCTAACATATTAGGAAGAGAACTAAGGGAGTTCTCAGATGTGAGATTTACAGCTGTTATTTAAATACAGATTTTGCAGATTCATCAGGAAAAAAGTCATTCTTGCTGCTTGGAAAGCACCTCGGCCATCACAGCTGCTGCTCACAGCAAACACAGTACAGAATGATAATATTCAGCAATCATGTTCACAGATTATTAAGCACTATAAATTATTCTGAAAACTTGGTTTGATCTCAGAACATACAGAATCCATCGGTTTTGTAAACTGTGCTGCTCCCAAAGTAGATAATAGAAGGCATTACATAATTTTTCTACAATAGAGCAGTTGAAATGTTAAATAACCATTCCTAAAATAACTATGAATTTTAAAGCAATTCATCCTTTCTTTCGTGGGAAAAAATTACTTTGTCCCCAAACCTGTACCCATAAGCTCTTTACTATTCTTCACAAACTTGTTACAGATAGAGCTGCAGTAAGAGACAATTCCTTTATATAAGGCATTGATACTATCTATTGATTTCA